AAATCAATCCGTAAATAATAATTAATAATAATAGTTTTATTCTAAACAGTATTTTTGGTACATATATGGGATTTTCAGCATGTAATACAATGTTGCATCTCATTATAGGGGCGATAATTGAAATAGGTCGTTTACAATAATAATAATTTAGGATTTCATCATGAGCTGACAGTAGTTAGAGAACCATTGGAAAACCTGGGAGTACTGGACAGCTGTTTCGTCCTAGTTTGGGACTCTTCATCAGTACGCACCCACCGACAGGGTTCGAAACCAGGACCTTCCGGTTACAAGGTGAGCTCGTATACCATTAAGCCACTGGGACCCGATCCAATGGTCCTTGAATTCTAACTTCTGCCAATTCACGACATAGCGCGACCGCTAGCCAATGTCTTCGGCGAGTATTTGTCCTCACACCCGACCAGCTGCACCCTACTGGTCACGACTTCCCACTGGAACCCAGGTAACTACCTGCCTGAATAGGGCCAGTCACCAGTGAGCATCTTATTGGTATTCAAGTGTCTGTTTGTATTTATATCAATAATACTGTTCAATAAGAAGTAGATATAAACTTAAATCGAGTGAAAATATTTGCAACAATGTAACAATGAGAATAAAGCACTATGCCGTTTACTTATAGTTCCTCAATAAGTTGGTAGTTTCCTGCCTCACACTTTTCTTATCACATATATGCTCGCTAAATACGGTATTGTAGAGTTTTTGTACTTAGTCGTCCGAGTATACAGTCTTGTATAGTTGTTTCTAGTTCTACCCGATGAGATGCAGCAAGGAGAGAGTTGTGTATGGAGAGGGTGTCCAGAGTCTGACATGATAACATTTGCTAATTTCTTGCAGGAATTCAAGTGTCTATCTACAATAGTATTATTGAGTTGGTTTAGCAACACCTCACTCGCCCAACTGACGGCTTTTAGTGCCCTTCATAGTATACCAAAGTCTTTCTTAAGTAGCCCGCGAAAGATTAAGGGGGAACAGTAAAGTAAAGGCAGAACACCAGAATTAGCAAACGGTTACAGTAGAGACGGCATGACACCAGATCGTCTTAACTTCCTTACGCAGAATGTTAAAAGAAATATCTTTCTGGAAACTAACATGATGTGGGAGGACCACGAAAGATCAGAGGGAATACAAAATCCAAGGTATTTAATATTCGATTTGGTTTCAACTTCAGTGCCATTTATGATAGTGGATCCGTGCAAACTAATTAGTTCATGTAAACCGCGCTTTCATTTGAAAATAAAATTAACAACCTGACATTTAGTTGGATTAAGCTTAAGACCATTTGACAAGGACTACCGACTAATTTCCGATAAAAAGTTATTCATTTTGGAACAGTCTGATTAAGAAGTGACAAGCACAGAAACAGTCAGATCATCTGCATACGTAATAAAATTGCCTTTTTAAAAGTGGGGTAAGTCATGTTATAAGAAAATAAGCAGAAAAGAAGAAAGAACAGCTCCTTGAAGTACACCAGACTTATTGAGTGAAGCAATATAGAACTTTCCCATTGTAAACAAAGTACTGCTTCCTATCAGAAAAATACGAATGCAACCACTTTTTATTCCAGAACTGCGCTTGTGACTCAGCAAGCTTCTTCAACAGAAGAGGCCTAGGGATAGAGTCAAAGGCAGATGTGTAAGCTAGGATGACACACCATCTAAGATGTTTCTAAATTATCTTTATCAGAAAATTGGCAAATGGGTCATGGAGGCGCTTACGCTCGTAAGAGATTCTTTATCAAATTTTTCCACAGAAATTCATTCAATCTCATTAACATACTAGACACTATGAACATTAGGAAAAAGGTTATGCACTCAATCGACATAGATTGTTTGTTCACCAATGTTCCACTTCTTAGAGACTGGTGATTTCATTTGTGTTAATATCACATGCAATTAAATACAACTAACTACTTTTACCTGTCACATGCATTAGAGATATTATCTTGACATTTACAGAAAATATCCGATTCCTTTTCTAAGAAAAAGCATACAAACAAATTGATGGTGTTGCAGTGGAAGAGTCCTTATATGCCCCTGTTAGCAGTTGCATTTATGCATAAATTGGAGAAAGAAATGGAAGGTATGTTAGAAAACTTTATGCTGTACAAATGTTATATGAATGATGCGCTTATCATAGGTCACAGTTGTAAGTCAATTGAAAAATTCATTACTCTATTTGTTAATATTCATCCACATATATTCGAATGACCTTAGAATCGGATATTTCAGTGACTAGGAGCAACTATGGAGCGTTTATGCGATCCATATCTCGCAAAAACAAACAAGCAATGGACAGTATATTCATTTCAGCAGTTTTCTACCTATCCCTAGGGAAATGCTTGTTTTCAAGGGCCCGTAAATACTGCACAAGCGATCCACTAATGGATGAGATATGACATGCACAATCAGTTTTATTAGCTAATGGTTGCCTTGAAAACTCCCTTGTGTGTGTCACAGTAAGGATAGAATACCACTTGAAAAGATAGCTTGCGTACCAAAAAAGGTTACTTTTATTAAGCCACCACTCAAGGGCGATCAAGTCGCTCAAATGTCAGCTTAAAGGTTTTAGTCAGCTATGAAGCTCACATATTACGCCTCATCTCTTCCACTTATATTTCGAACATTTTCGATTACTGCATCTACGACTAAAAGACAAAATTTTGTGGATTAAACTTCACACTGAATCTACACCTTTATCTAAAGTTGCTGTGATGCATATATGGTTATAACCAATGGAATGTTCCAATGTCATCGAAAAGAACAGGTTCCAAAGTGGTTATTAAGACACAGAAAATCCTTATGTAATTGATCCGCATAGAAATCTCCCATCGTCCATTACAAAGCATTTACTATTGTCTGGTCACAAATCAGTACTAATGGCTGTCTCAGAATGATGTCACATAACTCTTATTTAAAGTTATTCAAGGTGATGGAATTGATTTGAATGATTCACACGTATACCAAACTTGGCGTACAGAAAACAATAGATTTCAATATTTGCGTGTCAGGGACTACTTGTCATACTTTTATTTTATATCACTGATGAATTATTGTGAACCACTCTAGTTGTAGGGCGATCATACCAAGACAGTCTCCTCAACATTTTCAATGCATAAAAACCTTCGATAAATTTCACTCTGGAACGAAAATGCAAATTTTATTCAACATACTGAGTTTCATTATGATAAAGGTATTATCCACACATCTTAACCACATTCTTAGAGGATTAGTGTGTCTCCTAATTGCACTTGTTTCTAATGTGCGCATAAACATATTAGCTACTAACGGCAACACTGGTGATTCCATAATATTGGCTTTTGTTTGACGGCAAATTACCCCTCAAAATGAAAAATCACGCGGAGCGTAGTCACAGTTCCATCTCATTCATAATCTCATATGGATGTAGGGGATATCGAAAACTAAGTTCGTTGTCAGTAATTTATTATACTTCATCTAAACTTCTGATGGCTTGTATCTTCTTATGGAAAGACTAACAAATGACTTACAATTGTTTCCTCAAGCATAAACACACATTGTATGCAGCGTATATATATTTCATACTCAGTTATCTATGACCACGAACTTTAGTCGAAAGTAGTCACTAAAAATCTGATACAGATGGATTCCGCTGCTAGTCATCATCCACCAATTAACTTCTAATTAAATGCCCAGACATCGTCGAAGCATCTGCACAAAAAGCCGACATGTCAACCTGAGACTGAGCACGTTGGTTCAATCAGTCGACGGGAAAATCTAAAATTCAATTAAATAATTAATATGACCAGTTGCACAAGAGGTGGCTCTCGTGACCTAAGAGATGTAGCGGATAACGCTTTAGCGTTTGAAACTATGGGCACTGGCTTCGAGCCTCGGTGGGAACACCATCACTCAGTGAGTGGGGAATGCAAGTACATCCGGCCAGGTGACGAGTCCCAAATAGAACGAAATGCGCATTATGGATTTCACTGCTAGTCAGTTACCTTCTACCAATTAACTTCAAATGTACACACTGTTTACAGCGTTTAACAAAAGTAGACTAATAATAGTAAGTCTATGGTCAAAATATGATCACAGTGCATGCAATTTTGTTTATTATATTTTGATCTGTGTAACTTGAATATTCCCATAATTTATTCAGAACAAAATAGTTAGAGCGAATAATTGTTTTCAATGAATTCTTCAGGTTCTACCATTATAAATCCATTAATTTAAGCATACAGTAATAAGATCAGATAAATCTATTGTTATAACTAAAGCTGACAAAGGCAATATCACCGTAATTCTTAATAAAGACGACTATGACAAGAAAGCTTTGGAACATGTCGAAACAGGGCCATACGCATTAGTACCAGTAAACAAAATGTCTAGTACTATGAACAAGGTAAAAGCCCAAGTACGCAATATACTTAGAGAATTGAAACCCAAACTAGGGAATTCAGTTTGGACCTCAATACCTCCCAAGACAAACACGGCCGCGAGATTTTATGGAAGGCTGAAAATTCATAAAATAAATGTTCCTTTAAGACCAATAATTGATTTTACCAATTCAGTGACATATACTTTATCAAAATACATATCACGAATACTGAAACCACTTCAATACAATATTCCTTCGAACATTAAAAATATTTAAAAATTTAAAGGGAAAATAATGGACATAATTATTGAAAAAGACGAAATGATGGCTAGTTTTGATGTGGTTTCTTTATTTACTAGTATTCCTATATGTGAGTCACTGGATATTATGAAACATGAACTTGAAAACAATCAAGAAGTATTAACTAAATCTTTATTATCAATAGATGAAGTTATAAAATGTTTAAAACTTTGTTTGGAATCTACATATTTTACCTTTAAAGACAGGCTATACTGTCAAACAAATGGAGTTGCAATGGGTTCACCAGCATCTCCAATTCTGGCAAACCTACATATGAAAGCCCTAGAAAAGAAAGCACTAACAAGTTTTAGTTGTCAACCTAGAATATGGTACAGGTATGTAGTGGACACATTTATCATCATAAAGAAAGCTGAAAAAGAAAACTTTCTAACAGAAGTTAACTTGATCTCAGAATATATAGAGTTTACTAATGAAGTAGAATCGGCTGAGGGGACACTAAACTTTCTTGATTCTCTTGTAAAAAGACAAACTGACGAGAAACTAAAGTTTACCATATACAGAAAGCCGACACATTCCAATAAGTATTTGAATTTTCAATCACATCATCCAATAGGAATGAAAGTTTCGGTAGCTTTAAATCTCGCTAACAGAGCTAGAAACATTATAACAGATAATGATATGGAGAAAGAAATAAACAATATAAAACAGATTTTGATTGGAAATGGTTATCCCGAAAAGCTACTAGATAATATCATCAATAGAAAGGCATAAAGGAAAACAAAAAATTGAAAATGCCTGGCTATCGACGATAGGCATTCCATATCGAAAAGACACAACTGACTGTTTGCTTCATATAATATTAAAGTCTATGTCAAACTTTCTAATTCTCTAGAGAAAGCGCTGGTGCATGTCAAAGATATAGTTCCCAAAATGTCACAAAGTAATTGTGTCTACAAGATAAAGTGTTCAGAATGTGAGGCATGCTATATAGGGGAGAGCAGTAGGCAAGTGAAAGTCAGAGTGAATGAACATAGACTTTGCACGAAACGTCCACCTAGAAATGAAGTAGAATTAAAAAGTCTAGAAAAAAGATCGGCTATAGCAATACATGCGATAGACAGCGGACATAAGATTGATTTTGACAATGTCGAAATTAGAACAAACAAGTTCAGCGAAGAGTCTCTTTTCGGCGAATTCATTCTCTTAGCTGTACAGTCGCAAATATATACAATTAATTTTGTGTGTGTGTGCATAAGGTTTGTCAAAATCAAAATCAAAATAACAGTTAGTGTGGGTTATTGGTTACATCATCACACAATTTAATTTCTTTATTATTTTGATGATGTAACCAATAACCCACACTAACTGTTATTTTGATTTTGATTTTGACAAACCTTATGCACACACACACAAAATTAATTGTATATATTTGCGACTGTACAGCTAAGAGAATGAATTCGCCGAAAAGAGACTCTTCGCTGAACTTGTTTGTTCTTATTTCAATGTCTTAATGGGTATTTTTCGCGAATGTCGAAATTCTTGGAAGAGGATTTCATTCACATAAAGAAAGATTGACTTCAGAAGCCTTGCACATTTTAACCACATCAAATGCAGTGAATAGGAAAGAAGGGATAGACTTATCACCTATATGGCAAACTCTTATGAAGCAAGACAAATGAAAAAACAACAAACACTCTATGACTTTGTATAGTTTGGTTTGTAAGGATTAGTTATGTTTTACGGGTTGATCACGGATTGATATCAGTTAGAGAACCATTGAAAACCAGGGAGTACTGGACAGCTGCTGTTTCATCCTAGTTTGGGAATCATCGGCAGTACGCACTAAAGTCGCGCTAAATCACGAATTGGTAGAAGTTAGAATTCATGACCCATTGAATCGGGTCCCAGTGGCTGAATGCTATACGAGCTCGCCTTGTAACTGGAAGGTTCTGGGTTCGAACCCTGGTGGTGGTTGCGTACTTCCGATGATTCCCAAACTAGGATGAAACAGCAACTGTCCAGTACTCCCTGGTTTTCAATGGTTCTCTAACTGATATCAGTCCGTGATCAACTCGTAAAAATATGTGATGACTGCTTACATATTTCTATTGGTAAAAAATGTACATCAAATAAACTGACTTCAGTTTATGTAAAAATTTTTGACTATTTATTCTGATGATTAATTATAATCCGAATAAAAATCTGCTGAAGAAGCTGTGGTTTACACGGCGAAACGTTCAGAAAAATCTTGTTTTGATTATCTTAACACGCTGGGATTAATTTAAATAATTTATAATGATACAATAGCCCTCCAGTAAAGGTAAATTAGAATTATATCAGAAATGTATTGTGGAACAAGTATAAGATGGGATGGAACAATAGTCAGTTTTGAATATGAATGGACAATGAGAACATGGGATAAAACGAGATGAAATAATTTAATGATGTGTGTGTATGTATATAAATATAGTCAACAAAAATACAGGTTTTAAGAGTGAGTGTAATTAGTGCTGTCTGAGACAATATGAATACGACAGAAAATAAAGCCCAAAAAGGATGGATGGATTAGACATAAGTTCAAGGTTCAAAATAACGACAATAATAATGATTGTAAAATAATAACAGTGATGTGGTGCAAACTTGAAAGTACTATTGGTGAGTCATTGTCAGATAATAATTTTTTAAAGTTTTTTTTTTATTACAGCTTGATTCCACACAGTATTTTTGGTACAAGTATGGAATTTTCAGCATATGATATCGGTAGCCCAAATTTTGCGGGCTGACCAATTGATATCAGGTGTTTGTCGGTAGGGGATCGAACCCCAGACCATAGGCATGGTCGGTGAGAGTCCGAATCACTATACCACCGACGCACATAGTAATAATAATAATGAATTTGGTAGGGTGAAATGAACAGGATTTTGGTAATACGACAACAAGTTAGAAAAGCACTACTTAAACCTAAGCTAATAGAAATCATAAGAAAGGTCATGAAGTCGCAAAAGTTCAGAAATGAATGTTTGTCAATAAAACAAAGAGAAAGAGGATGAAAAGGAAAATTGCGATTGGAATTTAAAGTGCTAATGTTTACGAAGGATTTGTTGGGCTTATTATAGGCGGTTTAACAAACTCCTTCCACATGCAAAGAGTCGGTCCTCTGGTATAGATTGCAACCTCTTCAGCTATTGATCGAAGACGTAGTCGAGCTCCTCTAGATAAATTACTAGGAACGCGGTAAATAACTGAGGACGCCTGGTCAATTTTTATCAAGTGCCCAGTACCTACCAAGTGGGCTAAGACTGCATTATTTACGCATTTAGCTACTCCTTTACTCAGCTATACAGGTACATGTTCACGCACGCGCATGAACAAGCCCTCTGAGTACGGCCAATGTAACTAGCTCTATATGAGCAGTCGAATTCATAGGTACACATTGATGAGGCCATCTTTGGTACTTTATCCTTGACTCGTGGTTTAGCTGAGTACCAGTTTAGCTGCAGGAAATGTTCTCTCTTTTTTTCAAGTCTACATTGTAGAATGTCAGCTGCAATTTCTCCTTTGTAACCTAACTTAAGATACAAACGTTTCTTATCTACGGTATCCATTGTTACCCTATCAATAACTACTGACATATACTTTTTTAAGAAGTGTTCTGGGTATCAATTTTCTCTCAGTTTAAGTTTCATTTTACACATTTCTTCCTTAATGCATTCCTCTGAACATACGCGTTTTATTTTATAACTGAGACACTAAGTTTATTTTGTATAGAATCTGTGTGAAGCTAGGAAATTGGGTCCAAGTTTTCTTTCCAAATAAGTTCCTTTGTAGATATCCGTCTGTCATCATGGTGACTACTGACAGCATTCAGAAGCTGTTGTTTATTAAGATTCCTATAACAAACGATGAAGGTAACATCTACTTATCGACAATAATATTCAAGCCCTTTAATCGTGTCTTTGAATGCACCATTTTTAAGCTTTGCCAGGAAAATATCCGCTAACATAGGGCCCAGAGGTGATCCCATGGCAACACCATCAACTTGTCTATATATATATATATATACCTGTGATATTTTAATTCTGATTAGTTTCCCTGAAGAGGTTCAGATCACTTTGCTGAACGAAATCTTGGAGTTATTTATTTCACTTTCTTTGAGATTTTATGAATATAAATTTCACATGTCTTCTTCTCACTCTGCACCTAATTATTTTGCAACTATTCGATCATATCTTGATCACAGTTCGTATGAACCTTAAAGGCTGTTTTGACATCAGTCTTTTAGTTCATATCGACTAGGTTGGTAGTCTACCACCTGCATCTTTCGATTTTTCAAAGTGCATTTGTTTGTGCATTTGTTTCCCTGACCATTTCGGAATATGCTGTTCCACCCTCACATGAACTGAGGTAGTTTTAAAACCCATAATCTATTTTGTCCCTAAAGTATCTTCATTAAATCACTATACGATGAGTAAATAAACAGTAGGATTTTAAGACAGAGACTAACCTAGGTCGTCCATAGAACCTATAATGCAGCCCAGTTTATAACTATTGAAAGAGCCAAAAACATGACCTACTACAAACCTCAAAATTGCACAAGTGATTATGTCACATCTCATAGAAGCAAGAAGGAGATGGAAAATAAGAAAGTGTAGGAGGGTTTTGATTAGAATTTATTTAGGGCAAGGGAGAGACAAATGTAGGACAAACTTCTTTTGTATGCAAAGACTAAGATTGTTCTCTCGAACTCCCATAGCTTCGGCTATGTGCAAAAGGCGAGTTTGAATTTCATCCGAAAGGTTCGATGGAATGTGATAGATAACCTTGAAGGAACTTCTTCTGTCCACATGATGACCGCTATCAATCAAATGAGACAAAATAGAACTCCTTATAGATTTTATTTGACTTTTCTGAACCATTAAGGGAGATGCTCATTAATACGTTCGCTGAGCTGTCTAGTTGTTCGCCCTGTATAGCCTTCTCCATAGGAGCAACTAAATTTAAAGATACATATCGAAGTGGCACAGCTAGGTTGCTTGTCTTTCGCTTGAGCAGTCATAAGTGATTGGCTGGAAAATGACAAACAAAGGGTGGCGGCAGTATAAGTACGTTTTATTGCTCTCGATAATATTAGATATAAGACTTTACTATTTTTTTTATATTTTTATTTATTTTGAATATAACGTGTTTCCACACAGTGTTTTGCTAGAAGTATGGAATTTTCAGCATGTGATGTAGGTAGCCCAAATTTTACAGGCCGACCATCGATGTCAGGTGTGCATCGGCAGGTGATCGAACTCCGGACCATGTGCATGGCTAGCGAGAGTCTTAACCGCTGTCCCACAGATGCATTAGCTACATCCCCTTAAATTACAATTTTAGGAGCAGTCGTTTCTTTTCAACTGTTGTCAGTTTCTCTTTATTATACCTGGTGTTCATGTGTCGCCTTACAGATCTACTAGGATAACACATTTGAACCAAAGTATTATGGATGGATCCTAATTCATTTTCTAGGGAGTCATCTGTACAAATCCTTCTTGTTCAATTCGTGTGGCATTTGGCTAAATTGATTTTGTATTGGGTTGGTACAAAAATGAAGAAATGTGTACATTGTCTTCCAGATGTAGATTTTATAAAGACAACTCTCTGGAGTGAACCATCCTCTCTTCTACTCAGTTGGAGGTCAAGGAAGTGTAGTCCACAATCATATTCTTCTCCACAAGTGAAGATGAGCGATGGATGTACATCAATAAATGTCATTAACATTTCATCCTTATCAGTTTCTCATCAAGAATAATAAAAGTATCATCAACATAATCAAAATAAGAATCCGTTTTATATATTATTTGTTTCAATGGAGCATTTTCGAGCTTATCATACCTGATGGAGAACCCATGTCAATACCATCGATCTATCTGTAATAAAGGTTGTTGAATTTAAAGTGTACATTCATAGTACACTTTAAAAGCAACTCTTTCAGACTAATAACTGGAATTCCGATATCAAACTTCTTTTCTAGTATTTGTTAGTATAAGAATTCCACAGTCTCCATAAGTGGTACGGTGATGAGCAGTGATGCGATGTCTGAGAATATCATTTGCTTCCCACTTACATTGATATAATGTACGTTGGAAATGAATTAAAAGACATCTTTAACACTATGATTTACCACATTCTTGTCTAACGGTTGAAAGAGTTCACCTTGTCACTCCATGATAGATGTTGTTATCATTATTATCATCATTATTCGATCCACAAACTCACCGTGAGTGGTGAAATTTCCTATATATGAATCTATGTAAATTAGAGTGAAGCCTGAAGAAGATCTAATTGAAAACAATATTGTTCGATTATATGTTTTGTTCTAATATTAATAATGGTGATATTTATAAATTGTTCTTATTCTTCGATCCTTTTCTATCACTATGTGTATTTTAATTGGCCTTAATTTTTCATATAAATTGACTTGACAAATGCATGTGTGATCAAATTGTTCGAAATGTTTGCATAAGTAGATCAGATTATTTTCTGCAGATAATCTTCATCTTCTAATAACACTATCCAGAGTTCAAACTCTTTCAAACTGGTGTTATTTTGATGTATGTGATTAGAATCTTCATCAAATGGACAAATTAAGTTACAATTTAATGGTGACTTATCTAGTGAGATTCTATTCCAAAGACTTTCAAGGAGTATACGTAGAACATTTTACGCAGCACACCTATGTTTGTCATTCTCTAGCCGAAGAATGATTGGGACGCAAACGAAGGATAAGCTGGATAGTTTTGTCACATCTATGTGTATTTATCAATTCAACTGCACCTGCGGTGACAGTTATGTTGGGCGTACTACTAGACAGCTTAGCCAATGTGTCAGTCAACATCTCCCATCGAGGTTTGTTAAGGGACAGACGAAAACAATCCGTAGCTCAATTTTATCACATTTAATTGATAGTGGTCATGTAGTGGAGAAAACGAGAGCCTTCAAAGTAATTCATCATATCCCGCCGAATCTTTCCAATAGACTTTGTATTCGTCTACTGCACACAGCTGAGGTGATAGGCATTAGAACTATTAAACCTAACCTATGCATTCGAAAGGAGTTCGCACAGCTATTATCCCTCCCTTGGCATATTAAGACATAACCAACTAATGACTTATACACCACCCCTTGTTTGCATTTTCAACCCCTTTCTTATCATCCCTTAATCCGATCACATCTTCATTAGAAACGTGTCTCATTTAGTTCCCTTACAGTCTAGCATTACTTAATCGGTTCATTTGTTTTTACTAGCTTTTATCGACTACTTCCACCTGAACATTTGTTTTTTTAACCATGCTGTTTTTTCATTATTCGTGTTATCACAGATTGCCTCACTTTTTCACCCTTATTGTTGATAAGACCACTATCATTATTATTATTATTATGACTAATTGCACAATTTATATTCACCATCTTATTATCCTATAGACAAAACACCATGATTGGTTTATATTTGAATTTTTATTTGTAAAGTTATGTATATTAGAGTTAAGCCTGATGAGATCTATTTGAAAACAATACTGTTCGCTTAAATTCCTGTACAAAATGGGCAAAGGCTATACTGTCAGACCCTCTGCACCCCCTTTATTCACAACTATCCCCTTGTATCTCATCAGGTGAGACGAGAAGTCAATACAGAAAGTTATATGCTCGTACCACTAAGTACAAAAATTCTACAATACCCTATTTAGCCCGTACTTTATGTGACGAAGACTCTGTTAGACGTGAAACTTATAAGTTACTATGTAATTAGCACAGTGAATCGAACCTTTCATCGTTCATCTTTCTGTATTTTATGGTGTCACACTTTCTATCGTTTAATTATTACTCTGCTATTTTATTTTAGTTGGTATTACTATTATTACTACAATTTTGCACTTTATGCATATTTTTCACCGTATGGCATACAGTATTTTGCTATGTGGCTGCTATAACAATAGTTTTATTACCATTATGTAATGTGTATTTTTAATTTTTTTTGTCGTTTTTGAGTAAATTAGATGCAATATTGTACTGAATGCTGAAAATTCCTTGCTGTATCATGAGTACTGTTTTTGGAATAAAGCAAAAATTATTATTATTATTATTATTATTATTATGTGTTGTTCTAAATGGACAAGTGTTTACAGTTTTCAGAATATTCATCTATTCAGAATATGCCGTGCTAAAAAGCCTTCATTATGTTAAGATAAATAGGTTAGATGCTGAAAATCCCGGCTACGTACTCAAAACATTTAACACTAATCACGTGTGTTCTTTATAATGGTCACTATCTGCTATTTTCCAATCACAACAACTGATATACTACTATTGACAATGGATTCGAAAGATCTAATTAGAAATGGAGAAATAAACCAATCCGCTTCTTGTTGTTCGAATAACAAAGGATGAGTCATATTTGAAAAGGTCAAAGTAAAACCAAAGCTATTTAAAGCATTTGAACTCAGTTTTGATTGGCTAATTTTTACACTCGTAATTTAGACCAATCAGATGCTTCAAAGTATAGACTGTCACTAATATAGTTGGCAGCATGGCTTGGATATTTTACTGGTTATCTGAACACATACCAAATAATTGTTAACGCTGAGTGAGTCACTTTTGTTTGTGTTGTAATGCTATGTGCGTATTAATGTAAGCAAAGAAATGTTTAGATCTACGGTGGTGAAATTTTGGAGTTAATAACATTAAATGATGGGAACAACTATTCTGATTATACATATAGTCTTAAACAGTGAATTTATTGACTTTTCTCTCAGTCTTGTTTTCATATTGTTTGTGCTTCATTCTTCAGAAGAAATTTCTAAATGCTGTTGTAGATAGTTGCTATTTTATAGGCACTGTCTACAAGTGTAATTTGGGACCCATATAGGATTCAGTGAGTGCATATATGTCGGTCCTAGTGAATGATGGCTTTCTCACTGAAACTTGAACCCCTTGATCTTAAAACTTCCACCTACTTTGTGATTCGTATGCGTTGTTATAAACTGTCCACACAAGATAGTAATATTTCTTAACCATGTGGAGGAGGTTTTAGTGTTAAGTAGGAGTTTAGCTTCTCTAGAAATCAGCTGCTTTTTCGGAATTAAGCTCATCTCAGTTTCTGCTGTTAGATCTACTGTTTGGTGTTTGTAATTTTAAAATTGTAATCTTATACCGATATATTTAGCTCCACTTATGGTTTCAAACACAACGCTTGACACGAAAATACTACAAGATCCTGACTTGAACCGCGTTTATTCTGCGAACAAGACATAGGTGAACTGATTCAGTTTCATGCTTCTTGTAATATTGATGACGTTGATATTAGCTCCTCTTTCTGACTTTATCGGTTGTGTCATGCATATTTCAGTGATTTCTACGAAAATCTTTCTTTGACTTTCTACATTAAGAAGCTGAGACTTTTTCTCATGACTCAAAGTCGTCTCTTACTATATATATTACTTCATTCCTTATTCTCCCCTTGGCTTCTCAAAAAAGACTATGTTATATTTAGTAGGACTCAGAAAGCTGTGAGGAGGGTTAGCAGTATGCCGTTGGCTCAACTAAGTGACACTGTTGTGATACGCATTTTAATTCCTGCAAGCAGTTAGCTCAAATCATCTTGTTGGATACCAAAAATCCCATGTATTCTCACCTTTCTCATTGTAACTCTCCTGGTAGAACTAAAAAACATTTCACAAGAATTTATGCACGTACAGCTGAATATAAAAATTCAACCATACCATATTTAACACGGTTTCTGTGGGAAGAGAACAATGCCAAGAAATAGCTTATAAATTTTTCTGTCAGTAAATAAACAGCAAATTATAACCGGAGTTATTATTACATATATCCTTCTGTTAACTTTCAGTTTTTACTCTTTTATTATTTTTTACTGTCTTATGTATTTATTTCGTAAAGAGAGATAAATTACTTTAGTATATAGAGTACTGAATATTCCATTCCGTATGAAAAATTATCACATGAAAGAAGTTGATTGTTTAGACAAACCAATAGGAAGACGTAATTTATCTGGAAAGGACAATATCTTAATTACCACAGTTCCTGTCCTGTTTGGGAAAAATGAGCCTTAGTAAGATGCCTCTTCAGTAGAATCTGACGAATATGCACTGAAGACATACTTGACGAAGAAGAAAGAAAGTTGACGCAAACTCTGGTTGATAACAATTATCCAGACAAGTTCATCAGGAGATATAAAGTAGTCAGAACTCCAACTCGCCCCTAAGAAACATATGTACATCAAGCTACCACATTTGGGGCATCACAGCAGCTTGATAACTAGACAAAGATTGAACGCTGTTGTGGTTAAAAAGACTTTCTGCGCAGCTAATGCCGTAATAATTGAGAATGTGAAGCCAATATATTTAGCTAAGCCCTTTGAACATGCGAAAAATGATGCCACATTCCATTGTATTCACCAATTTGAATGTACGTGTGGACACACACACATAGGGAGGACTCATCGATCTCTACAAGTAAGGGCTTCAGAGCATATTCCTAACTGGCTCCAAAAACATATAGAATCTTCAGAACCCATTTATGTTGGGAACGGGAGACCTAGCTCCTATATTGCGAAACATATTGTAGAGGCAGGACATAAATTTGACGTTAACACATCTTTTAAACCTATCTATAAAAAGTGTTTGGGGCATATCCTAAGGTTTGTGGAAGCCCTAGCAGTATGAGTTCAAAAACAGTTCGTCATCACATTTAAACTTCTTTGGTAAACTTTGTTTTGATACCATAGCAGACGTACTATTACCTTTATTATTTGGTTTAGTGATCTTCATTGTTATTTTGACCTTCAGTATGACTGTTTAACTAAACCTAAGTCTATTTTCTCACCTCTTAACTCTTTGTTAATTTCATATGTATTCCTATGACAAGTTCGTGTGTGATCAGATTGTTCGAAATGTGTTGTGGAAGCGAATTCATTACACGATTAGGACAAATTACGTCTTATTGCTTTATCTAAATTCGTAAAGGGAACTAATTGTTTTAAAAGTGATTGTTATGATGACGATTCTGCGAACAGCTGAGTTTGCGACCTCATCAGGGATACAGCCCACGAGATCCAGGTTGTAGGACTAGTGTACGTTTACCACTGAGTTACTAAGATGGGATTAAATGACCTATTAATTCTAATTTCTATCAGTTTACAGTGTAGCTCCCCGAGACATCTGAAAGTAATTCTATATATTTTAAGGCTAGTGGCTTAAATATATTATGAAACATGCCAAAATCTGCACAGGAAAGTCTCATTGTCCCTTTAATTAATTTCTCATTAATTGATTTCATGTATTCGACAGTATTGACATTAGTAAACATGTGTACTATTAAATGGTCCTAAAATAGGATGTAACAGATTACCATTGCTTCACGATTTGGTTGTGTTTCTCTTATTTGTATTGTTTCATGGTGATGATGATGCTTTGAAATTGACCATATTCCCAAAAATTCAACCTCTTAGGGAATTTCGACTTTATCTGAGTTAACTTGATATTATGAAATAAGATTTGATTTAACATTAGACAAATGATTTCTTTCTTTTCATTTCTGAAGTAAATTACTGGAATTTCCAGTTTTTATATATAGTTTTATATGGGGCTAGTTGATTACTCATTGAAATGTATGTATTTGCCCAGCTTTAAATGACTAGAATCAAACTTTTGGAGATGGTACAAGTTTATTCACCGGATTGTTAATTGAACTGTTTTGTAATTTTACTTCTAATACTGGCAGGTTGTATCAGTGAGTGATTTTATATTTACTGCAAGAGCTTGTTAAAAAGAAACTCAAAAGATATATGAATATCTAATAGGTTTTTATGAGCAGTGATTATATTACCAATACTTATTGTGTAAGGGCTGATGATATTACCCATTTAACCATGCTGAATTAAAAGGGGAGGGACTTGAACGTGTGACCTATCAACTACTTAAGCCAGTCTCTGATTCACATCTCAAAGTTGTCAACTTAAAACCAGTGAATAACAATCAAATAGCATCACCAGGCCTATCTGTCTGAGTGACTGATTGTCTAGTGTAAAATCTTGCACTTGGTTATTAGCTAAGTTATATTTATGTCATTTACAAGTATTCTGAGATAACTTTCAATTAAGACTGACAAAGCACAATAATTTTTAACAATCAGCAATGAGAGAAAATACGTTACTAAAGTTTCAATAACTCAGTTAAATGAAAAAGAAAAGAAAATCAGGAGCTAAATGCAACTGACAATCCAAAACGGATTTATTTCGTGGACAAACGTTAGTGTTTGAAGTATTAATATGAATTAATTTGTGAGTTGTGCTTCGGTGGTTCTTTGGCGGAATTCTCGCCAACTACACATTTGACTCAGGGTTGGATTCCCACTCAATACACTCCAAAGCTGGTAGTCAGGCCGATAAAGAGGGATAGTTGGGTTTGAGGCTATCGACAGTATCCCGTTAAAATAACACCCCTGCTATGGAAACTTCACAGCTGAAGCTTGAAGCCTTATGTTCCATTCAGAACGTAAAGAAATAAAACAAAGGTATGGTAACGATTGAGCACAGAATATAATTTTATCATTCTAGATGTTAGATTTCTAGAAAATGTTCATCTCATCTCACAGATGAAATTATCACAATTCAGTTTTTAATATCTGAAGTTAGATAAGGAAGTGGATTAACTTTATTTTGCTCAGTCATGCTAGTGAATGATAAATGAGCTGGGAGTTGTTCCTTTTTTCAATACCCTAAGGAATTTTTCACATAAAAAAGCAAATAATGTTTCACACAATCCAACTACACCCAAGAATTATTACTGAATTATTCTAAGATTTAAGTCGAATATACTTTGATATAATTCTTCCGATTCATCTTTCAAGAGTTATTCATAAATTTTCAATGGTTGATGTGTTTTTCGAATTTGACCGCGGACTGATATCAGTTAGAGAACCATTGAAACCACCAAGGAGTACTGGACAGCTGTTTCATCCTAGCTTGAGAATCATCGGCAGTACACATCCACTACCAGGGTTCGAACCCAGGACCTTCCGGTTACTAGGTAAGCTGGTATACCATTCAGCCATTGGGATCCGATTCAAATTTAGAATCCTAATCATCGATGTGATTGCATGCATTAATTGTAGTAACAAAATGTTCTTATAATTAAATAATTCTTCTTCTTCTGTAAATGTGTAATGCAAGAAGTTGATTTATATGACTCCGGTTTCATTTTCTTAGTAAACAAACGTTTGATTTATATGAACTGTTCTGTATTTTTCATTCAGTTCTATTTGAAATAAGTATCTATATAAAACAATTAGTCTCTTCTATAAATTTGGATAGTGTTAATCTGAAAAATGTGATGTATTTGTGCAATACATTTCGAGCATATTCCGAAATGGTTACAAAGATAGATAGATGAACTTTGGAAAATCAATAGACACAGAAGGCAGACTACCAACTTCGTCTATAGACAAACATCTAATCGATATGAACCATAAGATTGATGTTAACACAGTTTTTAAGGTCATTTATGAAAAATAGTCAAGAGGTCTTATTGAAATAAGCTGAGGCTATAGCTATTCATAAACTTACTC